ATATACATGTATATATTTTGAGGTGAACTGCCCCATTAGCAAGGGCTGGCATTATAGGCACAAGTAGAGATTTTTGTCCAGAAAGCAGAGACCTCAATATGCAGATCCCCAAAGCAGGACCACCTTCTCTGGATCCCCTGGAGCAAGGCAACTGTTTTCTTATTCCCCAAAATCAAGCTAAAAGGGGATTGAAATGGACCTGCTACATCATCTGCTGGTGACGAGACCTGCTTTTACCTTACTACCTGCAAAGCATTTATGCAGTGCTCCAAAGATATCTGTACCACTGCAGGCTCCCACTGCAGCCCTCAAGGCTGTTCTTGGCAGTAGTATCAAAGCATCTCCCATCTGTGCCAAAGAAAAGTTACATTCTTCAAACCCCAGTGGCAGACAAAGGAAGAGAAAGAGGCATGAGAAGTCCAGCAGATTTCTGTCTTGATATACATTTGGTGTGACAACACTCAGGAGGAAGAGGATGTGCAGCAACTTCATCCCTGGGAGCATTTGCATCCAGCAGCAGGGACAGGGATCCACAGCACATCCACAGTTTAGGTTCCATCAACCCATGACCTGGTACATCACATCAGAAACTCGACAGCAAGTGTCACATCCACGCACCAACTGAGAAATGCCAACAAGTAACACAGAGGACAGAGGGAGGAAATGTTCACCCCTAATTTTCCACCTTCCATCTGCTTAGTGAGACATGCAGAGGGCTGGGTGTCAGCTGCCCACCAGTGATGTTTTCAATGCTGCAAGAACTGGTAATATTTTCAGTGGAACTGATTTGCAATCCTGTGGGCCGGTGCTGGCCCTGAGCCTCCTTTGCTGCCTCCTGAGGATGCTTCTGTGCTGCTTCTCCCATGGAGGACACACACCAGCCACAGTTCCTGCAATGCCACACTGCCTTCTGGGCAGGCAGGTTCAAAGGATTTAGGGGATTGTGCCATATTTGTTCTATACTGTGCATCAGGCAAAGCAATACAAGTTACACAGCACAGCTACAATTCAGTTTTTGATATGTCTCTACACGAGCAGACAGATGAGTCCCTACTCCTCTGGATTTCTGCAGTTGACCTTCAGGATCACAGTCAATTCTGTACATGAGACAAGTGGACTTATCAGAAAGAAACAGAAGAGAGGTATCCTCAAAGGAAAGCCTTAATCAACATGTTGGTTCTACTTCTATGAGCAGAACTTCTCAAAGACTAACCTATAAACAAGCAGAGGATCCCTGCAGTCTTTCTTGTGGGAATAAGGCCTGATGGCTGGTCATTTCAGCCTGTAGAGCCATTCCTTGGGTTTTTATTCCTGGATCTTTTAGATGTTTTAGACAAAGGAAATACCTTTTCCTATTTTGTCTCTTACAAGCAAGCAGATGGTGGTGAGCTCCAAACTCGGACTGCTACAGGACAGCTTTGGTGAAGATGCCAGAGGGACAGCATGTAAAACTGTAGTCATTAAGTCAGTGTTTCTGTCTGCTGAACAATAAAATTATAAAACGAGCTACCTGGATTGACAGAGAAGACTGGAAACTATCCTACAGATGAGGCCAGGGTATCTCAAGCCATCACAAAGGCAGGGAGTTTCCTGCTGCTGCCAGGAACTCTGGAGACCACTCACTTTACAAGAACCCCCGATAGCTGTTTGGTAGGAAAGGAACAGTTACCACAAGCTGTAACAAATCTTCCTTTTGCTATTAGAGTTGAAGAGATTGAGTTCCAAAAGCATCAAACCTATCCCCAGTCCATCTCTTAATTAGGCAGCAAAAAGCAATGCAAAATTTGAATTCCAGCAGGTCATCTCCTACCTTGCCAAGCTACATTACTTGGCACAGGAGTGATGCAATGAGAAGTCATTACTCAAGAAAATGAAATCCCATTTATTCACATGGCCTTGAGCATACTATGTTATGCAATTTGGAGATGCCTATGCAACGTGACATAGATTAGTATATATTTCTCTTATTGTTACTAAGTGGACATCTTGAAAACAAATATAAAATCCAAGCTCATTAATACCTCTGGCTTCTTTTTAAACCAGTCATTCTGAATAACCATCCTCAGATACACAAGTATTATTCTTCCCACACTGTGAGATATGGGTGAAAGGGCAAGTCACACAACATAATTAAAACCACTAAACACTGACAAATTCAACAGGCTTAGAGTGGGATTTTTTGATGCAAAGTACCAAAACAAACAAACAAACAAAAACAAAACCAGCTGCTAGTTTTGGTCTTGTTTGTAAAGTAACATTGAAAAAGATCATTTTTAAACAAAGCTGCCTTGCAGGTTAGCATTTCTGAAAGTGTAAAAATCCCCTTTTTTGTCTATCCCATTCTTTTAGGTCACTAAATCCAGACCATTTGGATAGTAAAGTTAGCAACTTAGTCCCCTATTTATCTAATAAAACTTCTGTACAGCTCATATGGAAAATCTGTCTACAGCTAAAAAACAACTGAAGTGTAAAAAGCAGCTGCAGGAAAATGATGTCACTGCAGCCAGAGCTGGCTGTCAGCACACTGGCACCAGGAAGATCCTGAGTTATTGTTCATCTCAGTTTTTGAGCCAAATGTCCTATTTGGGAAAAAAAAAAAAAAAACAACCACAACAAAAAAGCCCCCAAAACAATCCCCCCCAAAACCACAAAGAAAATTACATGGATCTTTTGCCAAATCTTCCTCTCACTGAAGCCTCAGTGGTAATTTTCAGGAAGATCATGACTTCAAACCTGGCATTATGTACTAATATTTTTTTGTATAGAATTGGTCCACTGTTATGAGTAAGGATAAAAGGGTGAATCTTCCACTGCTTTCCTCCACCAAAAACAAGCAGTAAAATTATGCAAAGTAGTTTTGCTGTTTCTCTCAGTTTTGCAGTTTTTCTCCCCTCTCACAGGCAGAGACCAACCAATTAGCTGGTTTTGCTAATTTTGACTGTTACTTATGGAAATGTAGGTGATGAGAAGACAGGAATCATTTTGGTCCAGCAGGTTGCTCATATTTCCACAACTATCACCTTCAAAATGGAATTCCATTGCCAAAAGGTACCTGTTGCCAGTAACTATTCTTATTTTACAAGCTGCTTAAGGACACATTATCTAAATTTTTTATTCTACAGGGTCTTGCACTCTTATCTGGGCTAAAGACAAGTGGAGAAGAGGTGTCCTACATCGTTCCAGGAGATCCTTCTCCATAAGAGGGAAATGAGGGACAAATACCACTTCTGGAATCCTAAGGGACAAGGGTTCAGGTTCAAGGCCTTCTGGTGAAGTTTCCTTGCAATGCTCCAGCAGGTTACAGCTTTTCACACAGATCCTGTGACAAGCCAGGTCCCAGGAATCTCACTTGCAATAACTGAGCATCACCTTTTGGTTGCAGAGATTTCTGAAGTTTGTTTATGCTCAGAAATGAAGGGCTGCCTTTCCTCCTCTCCCATAGAAAGAGGCATTTGCAAAATGAACAATAATGACAACTGCTAATGCTTCTTCAGAATGTTACATCCTTCCTTATCAGTAAAATACCATCAAAAAGTAAACACTTTCCTACAAGTTTTCACAGTATTTTAAAAATACCCTAAAACTCGTGTTGCAACAGATTAGGATGAAAGGATGCAAAAAAATGTAATATATGCTTATTTAGCTAGGTGCATTACAAAAAAAAAAAAATTCTATTTCATAGCACCTACACATCTGCTGGATCTGAATTATAACTACAGCCATAACCTGAAAACAAGCTGAAGAAATTGTTATATACAAACATTGTGAGTAATACACAAACATTAGACAAAACAATTCTTCCCAGACAATTTCAGACTCCTTACTGTAGACATATGCTCACGTGCTCAAAGAATATTATATTTCATTTTTAATGGAAATGTGTGTGTATGGAGAGAGAGAATTCAAAATTCAACTGCTGCCTTCTTGCTCCTAGATCACATACTGGACTATGACTCTACTATCCCACATCAGTGTCAGTTTTAGCGCTGATAACACAATACCATAATCAGATTCAATAAATAAAATTACCCTATACTTTTCCCCATAAACCTGTCACATAGACCACCTCGAAATCCTGAGTTGGCAAGCCTATTTTAAAAGTGAATTTTTGACTGCATATCATCGCCATACAACAGCAACAAGCAAAACACGAGCGCTTTGTCACCAAGCTCAACTAACTTATGTGGTAAGAATATGCTCACTGACTAAACAACAAACTGTAATAAAAAGATCCAGCAATAATGCAGAGCGAATGCTACAAAACTGGTGAAAATCATATTTTCATGAAATATGTCAGCAAACATCTCCAAAACATTTGACATTGTTTTACTCACACATTTCACGGTGCTTCAGCCTACTTGAATTTAAGCAGTGCGTGAAATTATCTCTTTTCTTATGGCTGTTCACGTTTTTCCCTGAGTAATTAGCAAGCTACATCCCCTTTGACAGAGGGACACTAACAAGCTCCCACAGTTTCCAGTGGGACAAGGAATCCAAAGCTACTAATAGCAAACAAGTCATTTAAACAAAAAAAGGATTACAAAGACTCGTTCCAAGTAGCTGGAAACTCACCCATATTTCAGATTAAGGCTTTCTGAGGAGCTCTTTTGTAAAGAGTTTTGACTCCATCTTACAAAACTATTTCATTGCTTCCCTTAAAAAACCAAAACATTGATTTGTTACCTACTAATAATTTCTTAGTATTAAAAGTAATTAAGTACAAGAAAGATGGAGAAGCGTTTTCCAAAGGAGAAATGACAGAAAACTTACTTTTGTTACAAAACCTCCCTCCGGAGACCCCAAAGTTGAAAGAAAACAAAAGTTACACAAACTTTTTTTTAAAAAGTTTTTCCATTACTTCGCTACCAGGCCAAGGAAACAAGCCGCGAACTACGCCAGAGCGCAGCTTGTTTGAAAGCCTGGTTGCCGAAAATGCCTAGAACCAGCTCTGTGTTAAACGCAGCGGGTTTTGAGGCGCTCCTGAGCGGCAAGGTGCGTACCTTGAGGACCTCCATGGGCACCTGGGTGGCGGGGGGCAGGCTGGTGGGCACGCTGACGTTGATGGCAGGTGTCTGGCTCACGGGCACTCGCTGCTGCATGAACTGGGCTGCCTGCTGCTTCTGCTGCTGCTCCCGACGCTCCTGCTCCTGCATCTGCTCACGCATGAGCTGCTGTCGGAGCAGGATTCGTGAGGTCATGCTGGAGGAGCTTAAGGGAGGCTTGGAAGCGCCAGGATGCTCGGAATTGCTGTGGGAAGACCAGAGAAAAGACAGCTCAGCTTCCACGAAGCGGGATGGGGAGCTGGTGGAGTTAGAGGGGAACGTGGGGTGCCCTGGGTGAGGATCCGCGGCACCGCGAGGGGAATTGGGAGCCGACCTACTTCAGGTACTAAGCTGCCTTAACTTGACTGCAGCCAAACCATTTCCCAAACGCCAACATCCAGCTGTAAAGAGCCATTTGCTCTTTCAAATTTTACAGCAACCACCCACGAGAAAAACAAATGCTTTTATAGACGGTAGGAGGCACATATATTCCTTTTCTTTTTTTTAAGAAAAAAATAATGAAGAGCTGAAGCAAGTCTAATGATTGGTATGGATAATACTCCAGACCAATGAACTAGCTCAAAGTAAAGTAAATCTACTTCTCCCATGAAAACACAACAAAACATAGTTCACTTATTTCCTACATAATACTACCTTAGGGTTGGACTTGCTGGAAGTCACTTTTCAGAGCTAGCAAACAGAACTCTACAAAAAACCCAACTCCCACCCCAGGCCTACCAGCATCTTTTGAGCACTGTCAGACACAAAACCAGGCAAAATAAACAACAGGAACAGCTTTATTCCAGTCATACTTTACAAAGAGCAACAGGCTGGCCCACGCCAGCACACAGCACAGCTTTACCACCTAAGAGATATTTCTAAGCCATTGGCAAGCAGAACATGGGACAGCCCCTGGGACTGTCATGGACTGCAGAGACACTTTCTGGAGCAACTCATCATTTTCCTAGCCTGCAGAACCAAAATCCATGGGCCGTGCCTTGGCAAGCCAGCAGTAACCCTCCTGGGCTCTAGGAGGAAGCTGCTCTTGAAAACTCCACCTCTGGCTCCAGTGCTGATACCTGTGGGATGCTGGCAGGACACAGGTCTGGGAGCCAGCATCCCTTCCAGGTCTTGCTCAGCAGCTACAGGCACCAAAGCCCTGCCTGTGCCTGGACAGCCAGAGCCAGCACTGCTGGAAGTTTTCTGGCTTTGTTTAGGACTGATGTTGAACACAGTTCAGGGCAGAAACAAAAAGAACCCACACTTACTGCCCCAAGAGATCAAACTCTGCTCTTCCAGAGCATACATTTTGCTTTTTGGGGGCAGGGAAGCAGGGGACCATCTTGCTATTTAAGACCTGTCATGTTGAAACATTCACACAGACACTGATCCTTTTGATAAAACAAGAGAAAACCTTTGTGGTGAAACTAATGCAGCTGCGGAATAATCGTACTAATTAGCTGCTCAAGACAAGTCATTGACTGTGATACTTGTAAAAAACACTCCCTTTTCAATTAAGGGTGAAGCATTCTCACATCTAAATCCAGCAGCTTGTTTTCTGGCTGCACATCTGAACCACTTTCACATTTCCAAACCGAAGAGATGCTTTATTTCCATGACCAGGATAGCTATAGATCAGTGGTCTCCCAGTTATTTTTATTATACATTCCTACCAGGAATCTATGAACATGCACTCCCAAAATGTTTACTTATTTATTTATGAACTATATAGTACTTCATGTATTATTGAAGTACCCATATTTTCTTTCTGCCCACTAAAAACACTCATCCCACCTCGTGCATCCCACCTCGAAGACCACTGTAATACATGAGGAAAAAAAAAGCACCCAAATGCTGCTTTCAGGGAAGGATTCATTCTCCTCATGTTGGAAAAAGGCCAATTTTGTACCACACTTGTCAGCATTCTCATTTGTGTGCTACTGGCAATCTTTACAGATACCTAATGTTGCAAAATTGGTAACCCAGCAGTTCCTCCCACCTTCTTTCATTTTGAACTGTTTCTCCGCCTACCAAAACCAAGTGTGCTGGAAACCATCTCAGAAGAACCTTCCCAAATACAAAAATGTTGGGGAAAGAGAGGGAGCAGGAAGGAGAAATTACTTCCACAGCATTTCAAAAAGCTCCTGCCAGGAACCTCATCTTGCTCACACAATTATTTTACCTACTCGCACCAAGTGTCCTCCCAGCTTCCTGCAAGTGATTCAGGTCTCCACTGTTGATCAAAAATTGTAAACAAAAGCTTCAAGTATTGTGTCTTTTAAATGAGATAACAGGCCCAGAAAACGCTGTTCTGCCAAATTCCTCCCCAAAGGGCAAAGATGCTCCCAGGCTTTATTTCTTCTGCAATTCTGCTCAGTATTTTACACGGCAAAGAGGCAGATGAGCCCTGAGCACAGAGAGCATGGACAGCCACGTGCTGCCAGACTGCAGCTACTGCCACAGAATCTTGGAATTGTTTAGGTTGGAAGAGATCTCCAGGATCATCAGGTCCAATGTTAACCCAGCACTGCCAAGCCCACCACTAAACCATGTCCCCAAGTGCCACATCTACATGTCTTTTAAATACCTCCAGCAATGGTGACTCAGCTATCTCCCTGACAGGCTGTTCCAGTGCTTGACAACTCTTTCAGTGAAGAAATTCTTTGTAATATTCAATCTAAACTTCCTCTGGAACAACTTGAGGCCATCTCCTCTTATCCTACCCATTACTAACTGGGAAAGGGAGATAGGCACCCAACCATCACAGCATCAGTGCAGGTGAGCTCAAATAAAGCTTATTCTGGGATAAAAGCTGCTGCTCAACACCTGCCTGCCTAACCAGATGCTTCTGTCACAAGCACTGGGAAGGAACATGGACAGATTTCCTGTTATTTATTCCCAGGTGAGGTGAAGCTCCTCCTGTGTACATGATGGTCTCTCCACACCAGCATTCCTTCCACCCACCATGGGTGGCACTGATCAAACATGGAATACGCTTTGAAACTTTGGTGTCTTGGCCTCTTAAGTCTGTCCCATGCATCACACAGGTCATTCTCCCATCCAGCTTCTCTTCTCCACCATGTCTGCTCATCTCCTCAAGCACAGAATAGAAGGTACAGAAGATGGTTTGAGTTTCACGACCATGTACCTCCACAGAACAAACTGGAGAAACTCACATTTCCAACCAAAGAAGTGATTAAAAGCTTGTTACTTCAAAAGCTTCATCCAGAGAGTTTTGAAAATAGCTATTTTTTAAAGTTTCTTGACCTTTACATGCTGGTGCATAGGCAGATCTCCTGTGACCAAGCTTAGTGCCATGGACCACAGAACAATCCAGAGTGGACACGTGGATCCAAAACTCCCCTACACACACTGATTCACCCCCAGATTACGTGGAGCCAGGAGCAGAGCCCACACACAGCTAATGCACGATGCAATTCAGATACTTCCTGCAAACAGTTTATGGAAACCATCTAATTGCAATAAATGAAACCGACTCATCCTTTTAATTGACACATGATTAAACCAGTTATCCATTAGCACTCTAATAAGCACAGTGTAATACAGATTGGGAGTTATTAGTTATGTGTCATGTGCTGATCCAATTAATCATGAAGTGATAAAGCTTTATTAAATAAGTTTAAATTACATATCCTTTGCACAGATGCCTGGGAAATGTTAGTTACTGCATACATGAGTTATTATGCAGGTGGCCATTGCATAATAAAAGCCAACTGATCACATTAAAATCAAGTTCGATTTTGTTGCCATCAACTCACAGAGACCACAACCTTCCCAGATATTTACTGATTATTTTATCTGTCTCCTTAGGCAAAAAGACAAACTCCTCTTTAGTTGCAGTTTTGTTTTCAGATTCTATAAATTGATCAAACAAATGCTCTGGTTCACATGCATTAGTTATGAGTTATCTGATGTACAAGCATTATTTTGCACTACCTATGCATTAAGAAACTTCTCTGGAGACATGGAACTGGAAAAAAAAAATTACCTCAACTTTGCTTTTTAACTACTTTAGAAACTTTAATTATTTTTGAATACTTTTTAAGCAAACAAAAATGTCTCCAATGTAATGTTTCTTAGACAAATTAGACAAAGAGCCCGGGCAGGATGGACTACCCTGCTCTTAACTGAGAAATGGTACAGAACAGAGAGGCTGCTGCTCTCCTCCCTCCATTCATGCCAACTGTTTGTTAATGGGCTAGTCCACAGAGAAATCAGCCAAGAAAAGCAGATTTAGCACCTAAAGAAATCCACTGAGCTGCACCAGATCTCAGAGGTAAGAAATAACACCGGATTTAAACGATTCTGTTTATGTCTTACCCTTATCCCATCCATAATTATTCACAATGAAAATAAAGACATCCACATGTGAGCAGTAATGCTGGCAACCTCTCATTTCCTTGCTTTAAAGATTAGGATTGTTCTATACTATAAGGGTGGATACTTAAAATACTTGACCTGCAGAAGACATTTTCAGAGACCACCACTCAGCTCCCAATACCACTTGTAGAAAATCACTAGCGTTTCTTCAAAATTAAAGTTGATTTGTACTAATTCTGTTTTCAATCTCTTTACCAAGCAGAAAAACCTCAAGAAACTTTTTGTTTCCTCTACTGTATATGTGGCTGAAGCAGTAATGCCTGCAGTAGCTTCTGACCTGCCAATCAGCAATGCCTCAGAAAGACGTGACAGAAAAATGAAGAATAGCAAAAAGAAAAAAATAAATGCAAGGAGGAGCCAGATTGCACACACCACCACCCCCCCCCCCCGAAAAAAAAGTCTAATACAAAACGTCCACAAACGACAAAAAAAAAAAAAAACAAACCCTTACACAATCCCTCTTCCCCTTCAGCCAAGGTAAGGGATTCCAACTACTACAGCATTTTCCCTGGAGCACTTTGTACTTCATTCCTAACATTTAATAATTGATTGTGGGTTACAGCGACGCTCCGCTCACCGCGCCAACTGCCTGGCGCTGCTTGAAGTATCAATGCAAAAAAAAACAAGCCCAAGATTTGGCATCCTCCTACGTCCTGACTTGCCAAGGACAAAGCAGTTACAAAAACGGTGTGGAGACCTCTATCAGCCTTTATAATAAAGCCAGGACGACGTTTCAGGCTCCTACATGAAAGGTTTCCGCACTTGAAGGTTACATGTTTAAAGAGACAGGCTGCCTGCCCCTGC